AATGCCACCGTGTGGATACCTTTACAGGCATTACCTCCTACACCTGTTTATAATGCCACCGTGTGGATACCTTTACAGGCATTACCTCCTACACCTGTTTATAATGCCACCGCGTGGATACCTTTACAGGCATTACCTCCTACACCTGTTTATAATGCAACCGCGTGGATACCTTAACAGGCATAAACTCCTACACCTGTTTATAATGCCACCGTGTGGATACCTTTACAGGCATTACCTCCTACACCTGTTTATGAAATGTAATTTTAAAATATCCACCAGACTGTTATTGTCTCCGTGTCGCCATTATACGTACTCAACACGAGTCCCGACACCGTTACACGTGCCGGTGTTTCCTTGCTTCGTGCTTTCCAATGGATTCCGTGTCAACTGTCCACTTGTTTCGTATTAATACTATGATTTTACCTGCTTAACAATTGTCGTGTATGACCTTGTCTTTTATTCTTGTGTCAATAATTTCCTTGGTTGATATTGTTTTATTTTCAAGTCAATTTTTCTATCGTTTACCTTTTTTGTGTGTCAACTGTCTCCTTTTTCATGTTTTTTTTCTTTTCATATCGACTGTTTCCTGATTTTCTGCTGTTTATTTTCGTTTTAACTGTTTCCTTGTTTTTGTTCTTTCATTTTCGTTTCAACTCTCTCTCTCTCTCTCTTTCCTTTTTTTTTTGTTATATCATATATATACATATACATACAATGTACATGGGCGTCTAGAATCGCCTTTAAATAATGTACATACTGGTCAAAATATTCGATCAAGTATCAGTATTCGTCATACATACATGTATATATATATTAACAAGTAAGTAAACATTCACATTTTTGATATAAAAAATAAACATCCGGATATTCTTGTCCGTAATGTATTCGAACTATTATTGTATTACAATCTAGTTATGATTTCCGATTAAAGTTCAGATGGTGAACAGACTTCGCACAAACGTTATTATATGGTAAATATTAGAATATGTTATGCTTCGTATGGTATAACATCATCCAATTCAGCGAATTAAAGTGTCATGTTAAAAGTATAGTGTTGTGTCTAGAGTATGTGTTGATAATAGTCAGAGTATAATATATTAAAAAAACATTTTCCTTTCCGACCCCCCACCCCCGCAACCCCACATCCCAACCCCCGAAAAAAATTCATGCTTCCATATGTCTAGGGGCTAGTTAAAATACCTTGCAATAATTTGTAGTTCTGAATTAGTGTACATGTAATTTTGTTTTTATCTCTTATTGAGTTTGATTTTGTAAATACTTTTAGATTTTCTTATAAGACATGTTTAAACATTTTAAATGTAGATCTGGTGTCTGTCTCTTGTTTTGATATTTGATTATATTTCTTGTCTTCCAGATAACCCATTTCATTGTATAGACAACAGTGTTTGTTAGTGCTGCGTTTGTATCTGAACAATATTATTTCTTTGTTCAAAGCAAACAATAGTCCAGGTATTTTATTTATAACATTGTTCTGTATGAGTAAACGTACCACTTGAGTAACAAAGTTACAATGAAAAATAGGTGGTTCAATGTTTCTAATTCAATATTACACATATGACATATACCGTTGGATCGGTTAATAACATGTAGTTTATATTCAGTATACATTAATATATGTACACATTTCCAATGGAGTTCCCTTATTTTTGTTTCTGTTGCAATATTCAGTTTATTATTTTTTATTTATTTTTATTTATTTTTATTATATTTTCAAAATTTGATGACATAAACATATATATAAATATACATACAATGTACATGAGCGTCTAGAATCGCCTTTAAATAATGTATATACTGTTCAAAATATTCTATCAAGTGTCAGTATTCGTCTTACATTATATATTAAGGTAATAGGATTGTGTCACCATTTCTCAGTAGAATTTCTTCAAATTTTGTAGTTATATTGCTTTAAAGTAAAGAAAATTTTCTGCCACAAAGAAAATATTGGTTGTCAGAATTTTAAGGATTTTGAATGGAAATTTACGTAAAAAGGAGTGAATTTTGAAAAAAAAATGAAAGACACAATATTTTTACAAAATAATGTCAATAAAAATGATACTGACATATATTAGTAATGCATTAATGTATATCAATTTAATAAATGCTGAAATTGTGTAAAATTAATTCTCTATACACGATATAAAAATTGACATTTTATAATAAAACCATATACACATAGCAATTGCAGGTAAGAGTTATCGTTCTTGAAAAACTTCACAGTAGTGAAATAGGTAGCCGGGTTCCTGAAGTACAGAAAAATGGACACATGTGACTCATTGATAAAAAAAAACCACCTGAATTAAAGCCTGGATTGCTTTGAAATACTTAATATTGAGAGAACACACTGTTCTGTCAATAATAAACATACAATATTCATCAGTTTAATATTAAACATTAGAATTTGCGGAAATTGTGATCCTCCCTACATTGGATTTTCAACTAGGGATGTACTTCCTGTTTCCGTTTATCAATACACTCCAATGACCTTAAAATAAACTTCCGGATATTCTTGTCCGTACTCTATTCTAATTAAAATTGTATTATAATCCAGTGTCTGATTTCCGGTTAGAGTCACGATGGTGAACATTAATATATGAAATGCCTCGTATGGTATAACATCATCCAATTCAGCAAATTAAAGTGCCATGTTAGCGTTATAGTTCTGGAGTATGTGTTGATAATAGTCAGGGTATAATCTATTAAACAAAAACATTTTCTTTTCCTCCCCCC